TATCTAAATAAAGATGAGAACAAGTCACACTCATGGAAGGGCATATTTTAAATATTTCAGTTCTGCAATTTCAATCAAAATCCCCTAAATATTTTTGTGGAAATTAATAATCTAATTCTAAAATGTATATGCAAACGAAGAGGGGCACTGACAATCTTTCTTTTTTCCTTCCTTCCTTCCTTCTTTCCTTTCTTTCTTTCAAAGCATTGGGGATTAAACTCAGGGAGCATTGAACTATATCCCAAGTCCTTTGCATTTTTTTATGTTGATACAGAGGTTCGCTAAGTTGCTCAAGATGACTTTCAACTTGAGATTCTCCTACCTCAGCCTTAAAATAGCTAAGATTACAGGCAAGTACCCTAGCAGCACAGCCTGAGAACAAGTTGGAGGATTTACACTGTCAGATATAAAACTGAAGCAAGTAGTATGGTACTGAGAAAGTGAGCCAGTGAACAGAACTGGCTATCAGAAACAGACCCAACACATGGCTCTCAGAACCTGATCAGTACTCCAGGGACATGACAACCTTTTCAGCAAATGCCTCAGATCTACTAGATTATCTACCAAGGGGAAACAAATACTGACTCACATAGCATACAAAATCAACTTAAATTTAGGTCTAAGTGTGATAAAATTTCTTGATGAAGGTAACAGCTTCATGATCCCTATGGTAGACAAAATTTCCCTAAATAGAATACAAAAAGCAGAAACCACAAACAAAAACAACTTGTAAACTGGGCTTCATTAAAATTAAGAATTTCTGTTTATTAAAAGATGTATTAAGAGAGTAAAAAGATAAACCACAGACTTGAAGATGGTACATGCAGTATATACATAAGTACATACACTGGTACATACACAGCACTAAACTCTGGAAAATCAAAAGAAAGTTGACAATGCACATTTTTCTAAATAAGAAAGGAAATGGGCCAGGGATTTAGCTCAGAGGTTCTGTTCCCGGCCTTGCAAATGCAAGGTCCTGAGTTCGATCCCCAGCACCTAAACAAATAAATAAATGGAAAAGAAAAAAAATTCAAATGTACCCCCCACACACACACACACACGGCCAGTGCACATACAAAAAGATGTTCAAAATCAGTAGTCTTCAATGAGATCAAAATGAAACCATAAAAGTCAGTCCACCCGCTACAAATAGATAAAATTAAATAGAATGCAATAGCTACAGTCAGTGAGCAACTGGACCTCTCATGAAGCACCGATGGGGTATGAAATGAGAGCAAATTTGAGTACCCACTGAACATTATGTTAAGTCCTATGCCTCGGCAATTCCACTACATATACATCTAATCTGAAATAAATATGTTTCTCAAAAGAAACCATAATGTTCTTAACATTATAATAATTGTCCCAAAGTGGAAACAATTCAAATGTCTACCAGTAATACAAGGAACAGCTAAATTACAATCATAATCAAAATATAGTACTATGCAGCAACAACAAAAGCAGTTTCCTCACATGCAACACCACAGAAACTCAGACAGAACACTGAATTAACAAACACAAGAGTACACACTTAGGATGTCAGGCCTGTGAATTTTTTTAAATGGCAGAATTAATTCTGGTAATGATCCATATCTTGATAGGAGGATGTTTAAATACATATGTTCACTCTGTCAAGTTCAAATTCCACACTTACTTGTGCATTTTTCTGTGCATATGCACTATTCTCAAAAAAACTACCTGACAAAATTCAGTCAAATAGGAGGTTCAAAATAAAGAACTCAAAATGGACCTACAGGAAAATACTGGTAAGCACCAACACCACAGAAATACAGCACTATGACCAAGCTGTCAGAAAGCAGAAATGTTCTATCAGCTTTGACAATCTAAGCTTACACAATGAAAATGCAGTTTATCTCCATCACAGTATGTTAACATGGGTGCACAGGTTTTCGCCCAAATCGGAGCATATATCTGGGGAGATACGACTAAAACTACCATCTGAGGTGTGATCCCCTCAGAAAAAGAAAGGTCGAACCATCCACCTGAGCAGCTGCGGGCTACTGACTGGCAATGAAATGAAAGACCTTTGCTCTTCTTCAACTCTTTGTACCTACTTGTAGGCTGACTGCCAACAGAGATTTACTCAACAAAGGCTGACAATTTTTCAGAGGAACGCTACAAGACCAATTAACATAACTAAAAAATAAAATTTAAAAACCAGATATAACAGGGTGGGAGGGAAGAAGGGCATGTGCACGTGTCTCACAGGGACAGTGCACACTGTGGGAAACAGGAATCTAAAAGGTAAAGAGGAGGCCACGCTCCAGATCTACTGGGCCAATCCCTAGGGCCGAGACTCCAGTGACTCCAATCAACAGTGCTTTTCTGTTAGGTTGGGCAGGCAACTTAAAACCCTAGAAGAAAACAGCTAATGGAAGTATTAATGTCCTTTTAACTTACTGAGCTCCTTCCAGTAAATTAAGCTGTTCCTAGCCTGGAAGGGACAGAGAGGAAATCTTTAAGGATGGGACTACGTGTATTGATCTTTGTAGCCCCAGGGACTGAGCCGAGACCAGGTACATAAATCAGGCCTTCCACAATAACTATTGGATGTTGATTTAAGAGTACACACTAAATCCTATAACTACTGCAATGTGATGCCAGATTTTCATGAAAAGTGTTTAGTTGTAATCAATAATGAAAAATCTCTGCTTTTGTATTTTTATACTTGATCTCTTTCTTCTTCTGGCTTATAACATTCCAAAGTTCTATGATCTGACTAGAACTCCTTGACTATTGGGCCGAACACATTTCCAAGTCAGCAAACTCATACTTCACTCTAGTTTCCAAATAGGCTGCATCAAATATAGCACAGTTAAAAAAAAAAAAAAAAATGGACAAAAGCTTTGCTTCATTCCATTGTTAATCAATTCCTATAACTTTAGGGTAAAGGACTTCTCTTAAGAACCTAAAAAAGAAATATACTTAATTAATTAAACCTATCTCTTTCTAAAGGAGATGTCAGTCTGATAAATACAAAGCACATATATTTCATAATTCAGAAAAATTAAGAGCAAGAAGAGAGCAAACATGCCAATGATTACTGTGTTTCTAAAATTAAACACCATATCTACTTTTGAGCCTCCTGGTAACTAGAAGAAAGAAAGACAAGTGAAAAACAGAATAATCTGCTAAAAAGGAGACAGCATACAATATCTCAAAGGAAAAAGCTTTTTTACTTAAGGGAGCCCCCAACTTTTCAATCAGTGGAGGTCTGCTTCTAACTATTTTAAATGAAAGCATTTTGAATTTATTAGGGAAAAAAATGCTTCTGCCTTAAAAATAAAACAAAGAGAGAAAAGAAAATCTTAAAATAAAACTGGTAATATCCGACTATTTCACTTTATAAACACAAAGACAATCACATCAATAACTCACTTCAGCTGCATGGCTGTCATGCAGCTTCATGATCTTACCTAACCTATCTCAGCTTAGTCCTTTTTTTTTACTACAAAAGTAGCTGTATTGCAACAATGAGTATACGAAACACAGTAAACTAATGAAGCAAATCTCCTAGTAGTTCAACTTGGCGTACTAATTTATTTCACCTTAACTGGAGCTTTACACATGTAGGGATGATCCAACAGGACATTTCCAGCCTCGAGAGCCAGCAAGGACACAGAAATGATAAGGTCACAGGTGTTAGTTCCACAGCAGACTGACCTATTCAGGTGTTAAAGTCAGCCAACCTGCAGAAACCAAGTTTTCTCCAGCATGCAGGTTCACACTACAGGGATTTGAAAAGGAGGGGTGAGCTGCTCTAAACAAGTTCTCACTGAGTCAGGGACCTTTACTTCTCCATCAGTGAAATTTTAGAAAAAAAAAAAAATTATAGAAGCTAGCTATATTAATGCAAAGAAATCTGTCTTGAGCAACAAAATGCATGCTGCACATTTAAGCATGTATGCAGGAAGTAAGTCTGCTCCCTTAATGAAACAGTCAACTCAGGCTTCCACCTGACCTTCCTCATTTCAAACTTGGAGCTGGCTTTCTGGCACCTTGTGGACCACAAAATTGGAACAGATGCAGTGAGAGAAACTTGTGAAAGTAAATATGTATTTATTTGTCAAGAAGATAAAATTTATGATACAATGTTGAAATTCCTACCTGCCTCTGTAAGTTAAAAATTTACACAAATCATTTAATAGGCTGCTTCTGATTTTAGAGATACTTTGTTTTTAAGCCTTTTTTCCTAGTTTAGGATAGGAGAGTTTCAAGGAAGTCTACTGAATTTTAGAGAGTTAACACTAAAAATGATCAATAATGTGAAAAGTACTTTTTTCTGTAAGTAATTTTTCTTTCCCATACAAAAATAGCTAATATGTTTTATTAAGTAATTTCAGATAATAAAGGAAATCAGTACATTTACCAATAAATTAGCAAAAATAACAATAAATTAAGTTAATATATACCTATAAATTTTAAACTGATATCAGTGCTTACATGTGTACACACAAATACTTCTGTAAATTACTATTTAATATTTCTCTCCAAAAATTAATCCTCTTATATGTAGATATACCTGACATTAAAAAGTAAAAATAGGTTCAAATGGTAGATACATCAAAACAACAAAAAAGAAGATCTTCTAACGGTAAGCACTTTGACCATACCCATAAACAAGGAAAAACTGAGAGACAAGACCGACGCTAATGGGCAACTTGAGAAAAAAGGATATATAAATTATTAATTTAGTGTCTCATCAAAATCTCTTCACCAGATATTAGTACAAGTTAAAATCATTTTAGATCTTTAGTAACTTGCTGCTAGACATAAGAAATACATATCTATTTTTCTACAACCCTCCACACATTATTTTGTTATCATAAAAAGTTTGTAATTACATAGCAGTGATATTTAATTGCCAGCTATCTGTTACTTTCTTCACTGGGCAATTATTTTACTTCCTAAAAATTAGTATTTGTGGCAATTATATTCACAAGAAGTGCAAAGGATAAAAGAGAAACAAAACTCACCTTTGTTACTGGTTTTGCTTTCAAACTTCCATTCTCCGTAATGCTGAGGTCCAGTTTGCTGTCATCCTTACTCCCTATGGCTTTTAGTCCTTGCAAAAGAATATCACGGAACTTTTGATAAAGAGGCTTCTCAGTATAATCCAGCAATTTCACAGCTTCCATGTATTTAGCAATTTCACCTAAAAGAATAACTTAATCACAGATTTGATACATTTATGTCTTACTGAAATTAGAATGCAAGCATAGTAATGTATTAAGTTCAATCACTTGTTGAATTCAGGAATTGACAGATAAGTAAAACAAAAAAACATCTGGGATACAATATAAAACTCAATTTTTTAACTGTGAGAATCAAAAGGAGAGAATACATACTAAAAATTTTTTAAATATGCATAAAAAGTAACTTTTAGTTTTAAAGCTTTTTTTAAAAAAAAATTCAAAAGGGCCTAGAAAACAATTCTGGAAGTAAAACACCCTTAAGTACAATGAATATCATAACCAGTATTTTGGGGGAAATAGAAGCTAAGAGTTATAGAGCAGATGCATTCTTCGTGTAAATCAGAAAAGAGACAAAGTAACAAGGCCCTATTTTTCCAAAGAAAAGAAAAACTGACTTCTGAATGATAAAAGGTTTACTGTACACTGAACAGAACCACATCCTAAGTAGAAATCCTACCAGTCGAGATTAATACTTCTCAATATTAAAAATCCATTGTTTGGCCAATGAGCTCAAACAGCTCTTTCCTCTGACCTCTGAACTTATATATTCCCTGCCATATAATGGTCTCCTCAAATTCCAACAAATCCCAATCCAAACGCCTACCCGAACCCCAAAACCTGCTGCCTGAAGTTTTCCCTATCTCAGTTACTGAGATTTCTACCCTCGCTCAAGCCAAATTCTAAGTCAGTTTTCCTTGAATCTTCTCTTCTTCCTCCCCACACCCAGTGCATCAAGACATCTTGTCTGTGCCACACAGATATAGCAGTCACGTGCTCAGTAATCCCAATATTTAGGCACCCACTATGTGCCCGTCACTGTTCTAGTCACTTGGGATACAGCAGGAAAGGAAAGCATCCTAACCTCCCACTTTCTTAATCCAACAGGCAGAATCTACAAAACACCTCCGACAGTACTGCTGTACCTGGCACAATACTGGAAACTTTCCCTCTGAGGAAAGAAAAATGCAGAGCTGTCACCTTCACCACTTCTCTCCAAGTCCCTCATGACGCCTCCGATCCACACAGGACACCCTCACGCCAAACTCCACACAGCTCACCCACTCCTGCCTCTCCCACAGCTGCCCCTCCTGAGTGAGGCTGCCCCGGCCACCAACCATGGCCGTTCTCTGGGAAACTTCAGTTCTCACCCCACTACACTCCTGAACCCATCTCTACACTTGCCATCCCATCCCCTTTACTTTTCCACAGCAGTAACAACTTAAATACTGCAAAATTCATTCATCTGTTTCCTCCTCTCACTCCCCACCAGCACATTCACTGATGTAGTCCAAGTGCCCACAAGTCTCAGGCCACAGTCCGGCCTCAGCGACACAAGATGAACGTGGGACTGACATCTGCCTCCTATTCCCAAAGCACTGAACAACTCAAAGAGGTTCAAATATCCAACTAACAATGCACCTTTGGAAAGGGATGTGCTTTTTTAATGAGAAGAAACTAATTATACTTTAAAATGCCTACATTTCTTACATTAAGGGATATTTCATGGATATCAAGTCTTTGCTCCCGGAAAACAAACTCCCTATGAACATTTAAAAAGTTATTCCTACCTGGCTTGTTTTTCTCAGGAAAACATTTCTCCATCAAACTTGCAATACTGTCTCTGTATCTGTTAAAAATTAAAGAATGAGTTATTTATATATAGCTTGATATTATGGGATATTAATACTTAGAAACAGTAGGCAATATGAAGTTACACTGAAATATGCTTAGACATTCTCCCAAACTGAACCGAACAAAAGTCTAAGAAGCCTTGCTGTTGAGTAATTCCTTACTTCCCCATTAGCACCACTTAAAACTACAACTCCTGTCTAGTTCTGACTGAAAAAATCTGCCTCTCGTGATGTTGCTAAAAATAATTCAAGTTGTCCTTTACCTAATTTTGGAATCTCTAACATAGTTTGGATCCTTCAAATTATCCTCCCAGGGAAGATGGCCACTAAGCCACTGGATCATGCAATAGCCAAGTATCTCCAAATCACCACGTCTTGATGGGGCTACAAGCACAAAAGGAGAAAAGTCGACATGCTAAAGTAAGTTGTAAGGTGCAATCTCAAGCACTTATAATGCTAACATCTGTTTTCTCATCACATTTTAAACCATATAATAAAAGTATTGAACACTGAGTAGTATAAAATATTTTATCTCCAACTAGTAATTTACTTTAAAATCCAAACTGGTAAACTCTAGGATTTCAAACTCAGGCAGTCTAGGAAATATTATTAAACCATGACACATTTAATACTATCTTTGGAAAACACAAAAATATTCAAAGTGTTATATACTAGTAAGAAGGCCAGAGAACTGGGTGTTTCAGATCATACATCCATTTTGGTAGAGAAAAAAGAAATGGCTGCTGAAGAAATAAGCTATCATAATAGATGACAAGGGCCAGGGGTTTAGCTTAGTGGTTCTGCCGCCTGCCACGCAAGCGCAAGGACCTGAGTTCAATCCCTGGTACCAAAAAAAAAAAAAAATGTTTTGCATAATAGATGACAAAATAAAAGCTACCTTTTATAAAGGTGTAGTTACACAAGAAACTTACAGACTCTAAAAGACAAAAACAAAAACCAACCAATATTCCAACAAAGCCATATAAAAACCCAAATAAATCCTCACAGCAGAGGAATAAAACACCTCACTGCTACAGCTGTCTTGTCATTTCTGCAGGGCAGGAGGATGAAGGGGAGAGAAAATACAAGAGGCTCCTAGAGTCTAACCTCTCTCTACCCTCTTTCACCATCCTTCCTGGACTCTTCTGACTTTTATGTCTATTTATTTATGCAGAACTGAGAACTACATAGGAATCCTGCTTCAAACACTCAGGCCGGGCCGGTGTGGAGACATACCCACGCCGTTGTGAGCGTCGATGCTGGTGAACTCAATAGTGCCATCGTGACGTCTTTTGGGATCTTCTTTATATTCTCTATGAGCTCCTTCTGGACAGTACCGATAGGCAAGACCATAATCTACCAAATACACCTATAAATTTCCAGGGATCAGGCAAATTAGAGGGAAAATCATTGCACATATACTACTTTGAAACACAGAAATAAAACAGAGTCTGAGAGTCAATTCGCCTACAAAGATAAATCACAGTGCTCCAAACAAGTTAGATCCAAAATGCACACAAAAGCAAATATTCAATTTTGAAAACTGACTTCTATTTTTAAAAATCCATCCTTCTTCTATTCCTTCTCTCATTCCCTTCCTCCCTTCCTTCCTCTTCTAATGCCGACAACTAAACCCAGGGCAATCATGTTGCTAAAGACCAGATAAAATCACCTGGCTTCAAATGCTTTTCTAGAGATGTATGTGCTAAACTTGTAATTAATATTTTCTCCTCAATGTGAGCAAGACTTATAAATCTCACACTTTTTCATTAAGTTTAAAACAAAATTGGGCATAAAGCAAACCATCAGTACAAGCTGTAATACAACTGACATCTCCCACAAAGGGGGCACTGAGCGTAAGAATCCCAACACCGGTGACACAGGATATAAATGTTCTATTCCTGTTTCTTCACTTGTAAAATAATTGAATGCCAAATTCATAAAAATATTATTTCAGAGATTATAATAATGATAAGAACTTTTACAAGAAGCCCTTGTCTATGCTTAAATACAGCGCATTAACATCAACTCTTCATAAGGAAGGCTAAGTTTGAGTACTACACACACACGTATCTGTGGCCATAGGAAAGCAGCTGATCAGTATACAACACTACTAGCTCTCTTTCGCTTCGCAGCCACCTACTGTCCGCGTGTGGGCACAAGAGGTAAGTGAAGTAAAACTGTAAAGATGGTCCAATACTGGAAAAGTAACCCCATCCAAAGCAAATTCCTGGAAAGATGAGAGAGAGCTGCAAAACATTTCCATATAATCCAAAGCAGCATGTTTTAATCATGTGCAGACTGATAGGAGTGAGATTCTTTGTTCAAGTTCCTGGACGTGTTTTGTTTTTACCCGGGGAGTGTTAGAAACAAGATGGCTGGGAAGAGCTGAACCAGCCCTGTGGCTGCCTTCAGACTGTCCCGGCCGGTCAGCGCCACAGGCCAGCAAGCTCTCTTCCATGTGCTGTGCTCCCACAGACCCCTGGCAACCACAGGAGACGAAAGGAAAGGGGCCAGGAGAAAAGGACAAGTGAACAACAGGTAAAGGCAGATCTGAGAAAGAGAAATGCCACAGAGGATCAGCAAATAATTACATAATAATGGTACATTTTAAATACTTAAATCTGCCTTTGTTATAAGATCAAGAAGTGAGATCACACATTGAGTCAGGGGCCCAACCGTGAGTATCAACTAGACCTTATTTTTGCCAAAACCATGAAATAGCTACAAGAAAATTGTATAGATCTGTCTACTCCAACTAAACTGCCCCAATAAAGTAAAATAACATTAGCTTTTCTCCTTGCCTTACACAAAGTAAAATTTACAAAGGGAAGGTAATAAAGTAAAAAATGCACATTTGAATTCCAAACACTAAGGGTATACAAATTTAGACAGCTCAGATATCTCTGTAAACCAATTGATTTGAATAATCAACATGTTAAAGACCAAATTTTCCAAGTAACAGAACACTTACATTTGATGGATTTCTTGAACAAAGGAAATAAAAAAGTGACAAAGCAGACAAGCAAACATAATTCACTGGTGTACTATATAATTTTAAGCTTCCACCCCCAAACAGCTATTTGAAATTCACTTTGTATCACGAGCACTTCTTCTGAATATTATTTAGGGCAAAATAGCCAACTTGATAAAGTGCCAACAAATTGCATCAAAAATGTAGAATGTTAACTAGATAAAAGTGTCAAGAAGAAATATTATTATTACCGTATCTACTTCAAAAAGTAAAACTTCTAAATGGGTTCAAGAGTTCAGAGCAACTCTATCTGTTTTCAAACGACATGTTTTAAAAGACTAGAAACTAAAGCGGTAAAGCTACCTGGTCAGGGTTCTTGTAGCTTAGAAGAAGATTCGAGGCCTTGATATCTCCATGCACATACTCATGCTCATGGATGTACTCCAGGACATCCAGCTGCAAAAGTGTCACAGATAAAATTAATGCAGTACCTAGCACCAGCCAGCAGAGGACTAAGCTTCAACACAAGCCAGCCTTTACTTGAAAAACAGTATTTAAAAGACAAGAAGAATGTAGCTCACATACAATTCTTAAGCTTAGCTGCAAAACAGCTTTCCGAGAAAACCTTCTGGCATTTGCTTCGTATATTTTCTGAAGGTCACTCCCAAAGCGATCTATTATCATAAACCTATAACTGAAGACAAACAAGAAAAGTCAATGAAAAAAATGTAACTCAGGAAAAGCTACTTTGCCATGAGTACTCTCCTTCCAAAGTAATTTTTTCAAGGTACTGTTTAGTAAGACAGTATTCAGAGAGAGAGAGTTGAAACAATTTCTTCCAATAAGAAATCTCAAGAATTCAGTGCTTTCCTAACCTGCCTTTTAGCTAGAAGGCCTCTTCCTGGTCTCAGCTAGTTACAATAAGCAACACTGAATTTTAAGATAATGCCAACAGAGAAAATTCAAAAGATTCACCTCTAATTAAAAAAAAATCTGAATAAGAATGAGAGCACTGCCTTTAGTAGTAAAAGCTGGCTTATGTTTCTAGATATTAGCTTCCTTTTTGCGACTAGGTCTCTCTATTTTTAAGGCACAACTCAGCAGAATCAATATTCTCTTAAAAATTAAGACTGTCAAGAGATGTTAAAGAGCTAAATTCAATAAAACCATTTTTAAAAATCTAAAGGATGGTGCACTACATACTCAATGGCCAATATTTGGGGAAGAACAAATAAACATCTTGGGTAACTGTAAAGAGTTATGGTTTTGCCACAAACTATCTGTGTCACCTTGGCCAAGCAGTACAACTTCCTTGGGCCACAATTTCCCCTAAAGTAAAATGAGGAAGTGGCGACTCACCCTTCGTGCACTTGCTCAGCTCTCAAATCCCAGGACTCAGTGTGAAGTACTATGACTGATCTGCTGTTAACTCTGTTCAGCTTTTGCTCTGAGGATCACTTTTATCTTCAAAAGTTTTCCAAATTCCAACTTGCATTACATCGTTTCCAGAAAATCGACAAAAACCCACACCATGCTGAGAATGTATGTAATGTCTTCCAGTGGGACACAACAGTGAGTTCTCAGGACCATCGCCGCAGTCAGCACTCCCTGAATGCGTGCTAGGGCACCACACCCCTTTAGGGACTGCATGGGTGCTCATGTACTTACACCGCAAACCACGACCCTGTTTCTCAACAGCAGAAAACTGCAAGGAATTTGTCTTCTCGAATATGGTGGAGCCATACTTTTAACCACTGTACTACATATACTGAAATAAATGTCAGTGGGATACAAAAATTTCACTTATATGCAGTCGGACATTATAATAAAAATACAATATGGCAAGTTCAACAGGGAAGGAAGCTCTAACATTGAAAGACAATTTGTCAAAACAAAACTCCTACCCATTTTTTAACTGGAAAAGATTCAGGGCTCCTCTTATCTACGTATCTTATAATAAATAAAATAACTGATGGCTATTAAGGTAAAGTGACTTGTCCAAAGTCATACAATTAGTGGCAAATATATGTAAGATCTCCTGGCTCCCTGACCTCTAAAATCATAAACAGGGACAAGTACTTTTGACTTCCTGGTTTCATTTGTACAGCAGGTTTTGAAAGGTGGAGAGATTACACCAGGACATATGTACATGTTTGCTTTTACAAATAAATGATGTGTACAATTAATATAACAATATATGAGTAACAAAAATACAACCTCTGCTGACAGTATGAAAGAGGGATTAAACAGAATCGCTTACTTCAACATAAGATCTACTTAAAAATTACATTAGGTAGGTCTCTGTTCAGAATCACAGATCACCCCACTACTACTCTAAACAATCGTGTAATCTCCTCAGTATTCTAAATTGTAACTGACAACTAAACAAATTGCAGAGAAACTGTTACCACCACCACATCCTTCGGGAAAGGCAGCTCTATCACTGAGTAGTGAAGTGAAGTTTATTTCCCAGTGACTAAGCTAAAGTAAAACCTTTGATGCTTATTTTGGAGGGGACTTGGATAAAACAATTCAAAGAATGGAAAAATATAAAGCAGTACAAATGATTTCATAAGCAGCTAACATTTTTACTGCTCTAAGTGCTGGCTGTGCTAAGTGATAGTGAGATATATAGATATAGATATAGATATAGATATAGAGGACAAGATACAGATATATAGGATAAGATACAATATGACATGATATACATTAATCCTAATGAGTTACACAAAAGTAGGGATTTGGGAGGGGAAGGGCTGGAAGAATAATGTTATTATTTCTTTACTTTTGAAAATTCTATGGTGATTACTCATAGGGGCCTCAACCTGAACCATAAACCAAGCCCTCACACAGGATGCCGGGATGTCACACACTCCTTCCACGGATGGTTCCAGCATCTCGCACTATGGCAGTAGAGACAGGAAGTAAGGTGACACTTGCAGGGGAGGCAAGAGCCAGGCTAGAGAGTGTGGCCATCCGGGTGCCCTGGCACCTCTGAGGCTCTCCAATGCCGTGCTTTGTCAGCCTTCCAACCCCTGCCTTCTCAGGGTCTGTTCCTGGCAAACTTGGTCCAGCAAAACTGTCCATAACAAAAAATGTGCCGTGATTTCAGAGTCCTCCACTCCCTCAGAGGCACAGGACAGCTGCCCCTGCATGCCATCATTTCTGACAGAGCTCCAGGTGGATGGGCATCTGTCCCCTTCCACAGGATCACTCGAGGCCCCAAGTCAGCCGCTGGGACTACCTCGCTCTTGCCAGTGACTGGCTTATGAGCCCTGATCAAATTCAGATCCAGCAAAGAGGAGCAGAAGGAAGTGTGCTGCAGGGCAAAGGGGCGGTATCCGGCATGAAAAACCTAGGAACGGGGCCACCACGAACCCATAAAAGGGAACACTGACAAGATGAGAAAAAAGTGCAAGGCAAGAATGTGGGCCCCTGCAGACTGTGTAAGATGGCTGAGTGAAACTCTTCCAGGACTAGCAACAGAAAGCACATGACTACACCCTCCAGTTCCAGACTCAACCTACTCTCCAAGTCTCCGCTACCAACCTTCCTCCACAAAGTTCCACTCACTCACTCAAATACCTAAAAGATATCAATTATACCTCAAAGTATTAGAGGTTTTCTCCAACTCAACAAGGCCAACAACATTCTCTCCAGTCTCTCAATTCCTAAGACACCTAAGAGTCAAAACTCTTACAAGTTAGCACTTAACTGTTCTGTTTCCTACATGTTTGTTTTCTCTGGTCAGCTAGACTGAAACTCTTCTGAAGGGATTCTGATTTTTATGGGAAGACTATTCATTATTAAATACCAAATAGAATCCTAAGGGTTCTCTTTCTGTAGAAAGGATACAGAGGTGTATGTTTGCTTCAGGGCCCTTTGGTCTTTGTCCCTAAGTGTCACCCAGGCTCAGGTCGGTGGATCACACTCCCCCCTGCTCAAGGCATCAGACTGCAGCTGGGAAAGCAGAAGGCAGGGATGATGTCTTACTTGTCCCTCTCATTCTCTGCCTCTGCCTGCCACACACAATGCACACAGCCTCGGTGAAGACCTACTGGAATTCTGGGCCCTCGCTAAATGATCCTTAACTAAACCAGCATGACAGTAAATGCTCAAAAAAGGGGAAAGAAAAAACGAACAAATCATATGGATTTTACCTTTTTCCATTTTTATCATGTAGACCAGATCCCCAATACTTAGGAACACCAAGGTACTTCAGTTTATGGGCACGAATCCACTTCTGAACTGTAAGTTAAAACCAATGCTTGTGATTTCAACTACTATACAGAAATTTAAAAATTTTAAAAACAAATCATTAAGAGCAGAAAGTGTTTATAAATGTAGCAAGATTTCACCTTTACTCATAAAATAGGAAGAGCACAATATGACCTATTAGCAAAAACAAAAACTTTACAATCAAAGGATTTTTATTAATCTACAAAATAATTACCCTGCTAACACTGTTTTTAAAATGAAATCTGCAAAAAGCATTTTTAAAAACACAAAACCACAGTACTACAACTACAGCTAATCTCTAATTATGAAAGTGCTTGCCTGTCTCCCTTAAGAAGGCATTTTTTGCTCCAATCTGTAAGTACAAGTTTTCTTCCCTTCAACCTTAATATATTTTCTTCAACCAGCAAAATGAGATCCAAGAGTGATGGAAGTTTTCCCCCAGCCTACCAGAGGTCCAGGACCCACAGAGGGCAGGGGGAAGGAGGACAGTGCGGGACCGGAGCATCTGTTCTCGCTCTCCAAATTATGTCAGCCCCTCTCACCAGGCTATGTTCTCCAGAATTTAGGAAAATACTCAGAAATATCTGCAGATCCTTGCGTCAACTCACAGATTAAGATTCTCAATTTTTAAGAGTATTTCCTAAATCAAGTTTGATTTATCACCTTTATTCAATAAATTGATATAGGTAAAATCTTTTAACAATGAAATCAGATTTCACATAAATCTCATTTAAATTAAATGTATTTACAAAGCCCCCCCTAAAAAATAGGATCTTAAAATGTAATGCTCTAGCGTCCTAATGTAGCTCTACTCCCCAAAAATAAATAATAAAAATAAAAAACTGGTCATTTTAAAAGTATAAACATGTGAACTGTATTTCTTACTTTGCTCTGGCTTAGCAGCTCGCTGGTAGAACTTTAATTCAGTAAAAAGAGGGCCATTGTCACTGGGTTCCTTAAAACACAAGAGTTAGTCAGTAAGAGCACCAGTTAAATCCTGAGTCATTTTCAGTGCAACTTCCAAACAGACTAACAAATCAATTTTTCTTCCAAAAATTGTACTTTTGGTACTTAAGTGTACAACTGTTTGAAGTCCAACTTTTCAGAAATGTTTCAGGCAGTCTCAGAATAGTCCACAAGTTTCATATTTCTCTCAAGTTCCATTTTTTTAAGTGATAAAAATCAAACACATATAAAAATCAGACACAAAGCTCAAACTGCAGAAGTTTAAGAAAAAGCTTTCAGCTAATTTTCATCTTTATTAAACTCTCCCTTACGCAAAGAATAGAACCATGTTAACTATATCACAAAGGGGCTACATATTTCTCAGATTTAATAAAATTTCAATGCCTGATTTAACCAATTAGTGGCAAAATCCCATTCCTTTCCTATTTCTGAGTACTGTTCTACCGTTCTACCTGATGTCATCAGGATGGCAGAAACAGCCCTTACACATTCAGGATCTCCAAAGCAAACAAGAACTAGGCAGGAAACTGCATCCCTTCCTTCCTGACATCCATTCCCACATGTTGCAAACCAAAGGCTCATTTCCCACATGACACCTTACACCAAAAAGGAAATCAGAGCTAGGTCACAGAAATGTCACACTTTAAACAATACTTAAAATTAAAATTATTCTGAAAGAGACAAACATTCACAAACAAGAAAAAACAATCCATAGGAATTTTGTCTTGCTCAATAAGGACTGAAAAGTGAGAAAGATCTTACAGTTTTGTGGGCTTTTTCAATAATGAACTTTACCTAACTAACATCAGTATTAAGTTTGATATTCCATGTGAGTTATTATCTTCTTTATTAAGAATCAGAGGGAAAAATTTAAAAGAAATAAAAAATCCAAGTTAAAAAGCAAACATTTCTCAACTAATTTGAGAACTGCTTCTCTTTTAGGTTTGGCAAGAAAATTCTTTTGGCTGGAATACCTGCATAGCTGGAATTCAGGGTTCAATAAAGCATTAAGAGAACTGACAAATGAGGCCTATTACCTTAACTGAGAGAAAACTTGAGAAAAATATGTACTTTTTGGCTGCTCGAGATGCCTCTGGCAAATACTTAAAATATGTTCACTGTTTTTCCCCCCTATGCAGAAACCCTCAACTGCCACAGAAGTTAATTTTGCAAGTTGAGGTTTAAATAAAACCACTTTTATATATACAGTTCTACTAGCTCTGATGTTCTGCAATTCAAAAATAGGTATACCCAGTCAAAGCATTCACAGGAAGATTCTGGCAACCTGCAGAGTTAGCAGGACTACTTATGAATGAATGAGCATCTAACGGCAAGTAGGCAACCTGCATCACACTGGAAGCTTGGCTCACTTGTCATAGGTAGGCACACTGCTCAGCCCAGGCTTGGAGGAGAGGCAGATCTGGGCCTGGCATGTCACCAATGCCTTGAGAACTAGGAACCAATTGACACCCCGACAGATGGGTGCCAAACCCTCACCTGTGTACTGAGCACCTCGTCTCTCCATAACCCGCGGCCCTTTTCCTAGCAGCAGTGGTAGCCAGAGAGACAAACCAATGACTGAGCAGGAGACACAGAATCGCTGGAGGAAATGTGGAAGAGGAAATGAAGAGAAGGAATCTGGATTCACTTTAATTCAGGTTTGAAAGTTTTTCTAAGACAAACCTTGGCTTATTACCATCAGTATAAAATTCTGATTTATTCAGTTTCAACCTATGTCATATCAACTTTAATTTTCAAGTTTTCCTTCAGGCAATAATTTATTAAACTTATAAAAATGAGAATCAACCATATAAATCAGGTCATTATAATGAAAGCCACACTACAATGAAGGTTCTTTGAGCTCATTTCATACTTTTTCTAATCCAATAAGCTTCCATTATAACAAAATAAAGGAGCTACTTCCTTGGCACTGCGCTCTAACCAAAGCTAGCTATTTCTGTTGAAGAAAATACCTTAACTCATAACTAAAATTTTATTAACATATTTCAAATCTAAAATACTTTGCCAACTCTATAATAGCCAAGATTTAGAAAAGAAATTGGGACTGACATTTTAACTAGAATATCACTAAACGTTTCTTTAAGACTTCTAAGTGTCAAAATGAAGATGACAACAGAAAAAAAATTAAAATGTGATATATTTCAATGGCACCATCTAAAAGCAACTGGCTGCCATTTAAAAATGAAGTTGTATAAAGTTTCTTCTTCTTACCAAAAAATTATGATATGAATTGAAAATTCAGGTCACTTCTCATAACATCAGTGGGGAAAAATCAAACATCAGTCTGCAAACTTCTTTCCAGGGGACTCTGAAATACACGTTTCTATTAGTTCACACCAGAAAACGACCACGATACAATGAAATGCTGGGTTACACAACCCAAAGGCCTAACCTCCACCTCCAGTTCTGCTACTGCAAAGGGTAATCATAGCTCAAAGAACTCTTTTTCTCATAAGAGGGCCTCACTATACTAGCCAGGCCAGCCTCTGACTCATAATCCTCCTGCCTTGGCCTCCTGCATAGCTGGGAATACAAGCATACACCACAGCATCCAGCTAAAAGACAAATTTTTCATTAAGTCTTAAGTGTTCTCAAAAAAAAGAGAGAAGAATTTTTTTTCTCCTTGCATTATTCAATTTATTATCAATTTACTATTTCTTTCACCTCTCTCCTGAAACAAAAATCAGTATGTGGTATCTAGAAGCAAAGATCTCACTAGCCCTGATGACCCAGCATTACTATCCCACAGCTGCTTCCACAAGTCAAGGGTTAATGCCCCTGAAAAACCAGAGACCATCCCTAGGAGGAGAATGTTTTCAGTATGCCCCTAAACATCTATCTTCAATAGTACATCTTAACTTCACTCCAATGCCAAATATAGAAAGTCTATTGGCTTAGAGCTCTTCTGCACAGCAGACATACCAACTCCAACCAAATTCTCTGACAAGTCTTCCACATTAAGGTGGAAAAATCCATACCGGAAACACAAGGTACCTGGCACATCTCAACTACAGGACCACAAAACAAAGGTGCGTGTACATAATTTCCTTCAAAGTAATTAAACTGTTCTGCATACCAGCTGCTACAGTGGTTGTCAACCACAAAATAAACACGTGGGGAGCACTGCTAAAAACACCAATAATCAGGCCCTACACCAGAGATTCCCACTAACACTACACACCCAGGACTGAGAACTACTGTGTGATACTCCATTCCAGTAAGTCTGCTCTCACAATAAAAACCAATGCCTTCATTTCTTAAATGTCACTGCTGAGGTTTTTTTCTCCAAAGGTAAAATGTACACTTATTTCCGAAGATCTGGAAACATTTTGCTACATTTTCTTCATATATAGCCATTTTACAAAACATCTTCATACTCCATGTACAGCATGAGATCCTTTTTTTTTTTTCATTCCAGTAAGTCTGCTCTCACAATAAAAACCAATGCCTTCATTTCTTAAATGTCACTGCTGAGGTTTTTTTCTCCAAAGGTAAAATGTACACTTATTTCCGAAGATCTGGAAACATTTTGCTACATTTTCTTCATATATAGCCATTTTACAAAACATCTTCATACTCCATGTACAGCATGAGATCCTTTTTTTTTTTTAATAATATTAACATGATCTAGGGTGTACTCAGTGGCAGAGCATGAAGGACTGGGGTGGATTCCCAGCACCACCAAAAATAAAAAAAGATCTTTAATAGTCTCTGGTGTTTTAAATGACAAATGTTCAATAAACAGTTCAGATTTTAATAGTGGAAACATCTGATACTCATTTTACATGTTTGTATTTGATGATCCATTTCAACTTTGAATATTATAAAGCAATTTAGAAGGTAGTTTAGCAACTTCTGATCTTAGAAAGTAAGTTTAGCAACTCAGAAATTATGAACAGGCCTACTCTCAAGAGAGAAAAGTGAATCACAGCAAGAAGTTGAGAATAAATAAATAGAAAGAAAGTAAAAATTACGGCTAAAACATATTTAAAAGGATAAATAAGCATTTAAGGACTGCATGAAGAAAGTTTAAAACAAGGTCCTTATCAAAAAGCTTAAAATATAGTTAGGAAAATAAACACATAAAAAACTAAAAGTAACTAGTAGCATAAAAGGATATTAGAAGTAAAAACTGTAAACTAATTATTAGTACAGTGAATAAAACAGAAAAATGGGGTATAGGGAAAAGCAGCTGGCCAGCATCAAATTTCTTCTTCAAAGGGAAAGTGGGTAATATTGCTTGCCTATGTTATTCTTCCCAGATTGCAGCTACAAAACTGAAAAAATTGCTGAAACATTAAATGCAAAAGAGAAACCACCTGAGTATCACTATCCTTATCACAACGAGAAAGAGCAATACAAAACTAAATTACAAGACAGGAGGTACAGAGATCCGATCACAGCCTTAAACTTAGAAACTTAACTTGCTCCCTTTACGTATGTAAGAAATACCTGTTCCTATCCATTTTTTTGCTTAACAGTATAAGTAAAAAGGGCAGGGAAAGTGAAATCTCACTGAAAAATAAATGAAATACTTCTAATTGCACCAAAGAAAAATATCATAATTATAAGATAAAATACAACTTAAAAGAAGCTCAGAGCCAGGTGTGGCAGCAGACACATGAAACCTAGCATTCTGGGAGGCTAAGGAAAGAGGATCACCAGTTCACAGCCAGCCTGGGCATTTAGCAACCTAAACCCTTACTTGATATAAAAAATTATGGATGCAGCTCTGTGCACAGGTCTTCAGTTATACTTCCAATATTACAAACAGATCAGATAGATGGATAGACAGACACAGACAGACAGACAGAAGATAGATAAGATACACAGATAGGCGGGCGGGCAGGCAGAAGTACCAGGGTACTCATAGGTAATCGGTTCCAGAAGGTGTGACAAGCACCAAACTCAAGTACAAGTTGTTCTGGCTAGGAAGGGAGGGTATGAGTCACACACAATCGACAATGACAAGTTCTACCTTGTGTGATGAGTAGGACCAAACAAACCATAAGTATTCGAACAAAACGTTCATGTCAAAATACATGGAGTACCAAATGAAACAACTTCCAATGCAGGCCAGTACCAAGGTATGACTGTGAATAAAAAGCCAGCCAGCTCAGGTCCATAGAACAAAATAGTCATGGTTATCCAGCGGCTCTGTTCAGAAGGTAAGTGTGCCTGCCTGCATCTCTCCTTGCAACCAACAGCAGAGCGAGCAGAGGTAACCAGATCATCTGGACTTCAAACTCAGGAGAAGTCACAAGGGGGTTAGTGAGCTTGCTTTCTTCTCACAATGGAAAGCTTCAGAAAATCCTATGAAATTATTTTACCCACAGATTTTAATTTGTTATATCAGAAACAAATAAAATATTCTGCAATTCCACAGAAATGGTCCAGTTTGACAGTACGAACGTTAGTTTCTTTGACTTAAGAGCAAACTGAAATAGTTCAAAAGGAATGCTATCCCAAAATGTCAAAGAAGAAAAATCCAAAATGGAAGAGTATCAAGAAAAGGGAGACGGTTGGGCGTGGTGGCACAGGCCTGGAATCCCAGCTAACCAGGAGGCAGAGCAGCACCGTCAGGTCAAGGCCAGCCTGCAGGATTTAGTGAGACTGTCTCAAAATTTAGAAAGGGCCTCAGGATGCGGCTCAGTGGCACAGTGCTTGCTTAGCGCATGCAGGACCCTGAGCTCAACTCCCAATACTGCACAAAGAGAAGAAAGAAGCAAAGAGAGAGAAAGAGATGGGGCAGGGGGCTCAGCCCTGATGCTAAACTTTAAAGTCTTCACTTTACTTCCACGTCCCAGCACAAGGGATCAACTCAATTAATCTTTGTAGGATAAATAAATTAAAAAGTAGACAAAGAGGAAATGTCTATCTTCAAAAAGTAGACAACAGGCAGTTTAAGACTATGGAGCTCTAAAACAGAGGAAACAGAGTGGGTGACAGAACAGCCTGGGCTTTTCCTAGAGACACAAGGACTAACAGGAGGGCACAAAGGAGACTAAGCACAGTTTACCCACAGGATCCCAACAGGAAAGTCAAATCACGAGATCAGAAAATTCTAAAAGCCAATACTCTGTATGAACAAAGACACAAAAATCCTTAACAAAATACTAGCAAACAATTTCAGCATAAGGTAAAAAAACCTAACACAACTAGGGGGGGCCCACACAAGAGCTCAGGATCCACCTCCAAAGATACACAAACAGCACTGAGGAAAGGAACACAAACTATTAGCCAGGGCAATATAATCATAGCACATGTATCTGAAAGAGTAACTCTTACTACTCAATTATGAATGGCAAAACCATCCAGCTACTGCTTTTAATTTGAAAAGAAAAAAAAGAGGCAACAGACAGAGGAAGCACTACACACACACACACACACTGAAAAAGTATTCAGAATTATCAGTCACCAAATAAATGCAAATTGAAACTACAATGAGACACCGCTATGTGCCCGCTACAATGACTAAAAGCCTAACAAATACACAGCACTGACAAAGACAACCTCGATGTTGGAGAGGACAGAGAGCAATCCCAATTTTCACACATTACTATTGGATGTGTGAAATGGGACAAACACTTTGGGAACCTGTCTAGTACTTTCTTATAAATTTAGATATACACCTTCTCTACAACAGCAATTCAATTCCTGTATATTTAGCCAATAGAAATAAAACCACTTGTAGGGCTGGGGATCTAGCTCAGTAGTTCTGGCACCTGCCTCACAAGTGCAAGGGCCTGAGTTTGATCCCCGGTACCAAAAAAACCAAAAACCAAAACCACCTTCATAATCGTCCAAAACCGGAAATAACAAAGACGTCTATCAAGAGAGAAATGAAACAAATGATTGCTGTACCAACAGGGCAGATAAGCCTTTAACACATTATGCTGAGCATAAGCATTATGTATAGTATAATCCCATTTATGTGACATCTAAAACAGAATAATAATCCACAGCAAAAAAAGAAAAGAAATGCAAGGAGGTAGTAGTTTAAACTTCAACAAAGGACACGGAATGTTTGGGGCAATGGAAAGGCTCTGAATCTTAACAGGAGTAACAGACAGTTACATACACTTGTCAGAAATCTTCCAACTGTTTAATATCTGTGTTTTCGCTATAAAATTTATGCCTCAATAAAGAATCACTAGAACAATTCTGGTCTAAAAAAGTTAGCTCCTAAAAAGTAAAAGATATTTCTTTTTAAAAAGACAAAAAAAAACAAATCAAAAAAAGTTTTGAGCTAATTCTAATTCTTGAGTTTTAGAGCCTTTAGGGAAAAAAAGAGGAAAGGAGAGTTACATGTGAATGTCCCCCAAATAACACATTCTGCTTGATCTTCTATTTAACAAAAACATGTTGATAACATATGTAAAGGCATTCTGGGGAAGGGCCGATACAGATGCCATCAAGGAAAAAGATGAGTAATTGTTTTAAAAAACAAAAATAGTAAAAATGAGAATTTTAGTTTGCTGGTCTAGAAATTAATCTGGGTGTTCCAATTTCTTATGTCAGGCGAGATATTATCAATCTTTAATCATTATAAAGTGCGTTGAACATTAGTGTAGCAAAGAAGGCTCAACAATCATAATTAATAAATAGTTTAATTTACTAAAATTAAACTGGATGGGGAAGGGAAGAAAACTGGGAATAAGCAAGAAGAAAGAAGTTGACCAAGAGGAATCCCAAAGCTAAATGCAAAACAAAAATATAATAAGATTACAGTAAGCTAGTATGGTCTTGCAGGATATGATTATAAAAAGCATCTCGTCTAAACAGCTTAAGTGAAAGAAAGAGCTGTATGTTTTCTTTCACATCTGCATTATTTCTGCACTTTCACGGACTCACCCCAAATCCCAGTGCCATTCTAACTCAGAAGGGGGTACAGGGACTTTCTGAACTCAAGTTCTCTAAAACTACAAAGCTACTTTTGAGTCACATTAAATATTTATAAAACATTATTAAAAATGTAATACCTTATGGTTTAATTAATTCTATTTACCAAAAAAGATGTTTTACAAAATAAATACTATGTTAACTTCTGATGAGAAAAGAAAAAAGAATCTTAAGTATTTTCTTACCACTTTTGCAACACAGGGTGCATCACTGCCAACCGGTTTTGAAGAATTTGCATCAGCTGTTTAAAAAAGTGAAATACAAAATATCAGAGCAAGCAGCATTATAAATATTAAAGTAATACTGAGATTGGTGTATCTGTAGTCCCTTGATAGAATAATTTCACTTCCCAAGCACTTGTTTCAGCAGATCATTACAGAATATTTTCTCAATTTTAAGACTTTTACCCATGCTTTATTTAACGTATGAAACTGGAAAGCATCTCACAATGTCTGGCTGCTTCAAACTGATCATCAATTAACTACAGGAAACCCCAAGTTAAACACAGCTAAATATTTAACACAAAAGCATCCATGGTGCTTAAAAGCCTGTGAATTTCCCAGAAGAGGACAGCTGATGCAATTTCTTCAACTTAACAAACTACGAAGGAACACCTGGAAGAAAAGGGAAAGCCCAGGTCCCAGAACCATTAGTTTAGGAAAAATGCATTCACACCAACAGCTTAGGACTTTGGCACTAGAACTTTAAACTGCCATCCAGAACAATTTTAATGTTGATGTCTTTTATTTCATACAAATAAAGAGGTGGTGCTGCCCTGGAATACTGAGTTAGGACTACAAGACTGCCCATATTCATTAACTAATATTTACCAAATAGCTACGATATGCCAGTTTCTAGGAAATAGGGATTTAGCACTGGGCAGGAAAAGACAATCCTCACTCTTACAAAACTATTGTTTGAATGGAAATAAACAACAAACCAAGTACGAAGTACGTCTGATGATGACTAAGTAGGGGAAAAGTAAGAGAGGAAAGGAAGGCCGGCAGGGCTTAGTGCAGGGAAACACCTCACTGCCAAGGTGTCGCCAAGCAGCAGTCTCCAGGCAGTAAGGGAATACGCCAGGGGAGAGTGGGAAAGGATGTTCCAGGCAAACTGTGCAAAGGCCCTGACGTGGAAGCATGCTGGACATGTCTGGAAAGATAGCAGGGGAGAAAATGTGAAGTGAAAAGTGTCAGCAGAAGGGACTGAGCAAGAGGGACTTGAGACATGACATCAAGGTTCTGGCTCTTGCTAAAATGAAAGGATGAGAGGACAAGTTAGACCAGACCTTGATTTTCAGACTTCTTTGGGCCACATTTGGAGATCAATACACAGGGAGCAAGGGCAGAAGGGGCAGACCAGTGAGAAGACCCTAAAAGTACCCCACGGGAGGGAGGGTGACAGCCTGAACCAGTGTGGAGGCAGGCTGTGGTCTCCTATATGCAAAGGAAAGTTGATGGGGTCTCTGATGGGTCAGAGGTAAGGGTATAAAGTAAAGAAAAAATGAGGTGTGCATGCCTCCAGTTTTTTAGCCTAAGCTCATGGAGAGAGGAAGCTGCCACTTACTAATAGGGAGAGAATGCCAAATTTTAGGGTATCTTAAGTTTGAGGTGCTTGTTAAACACTCAAGTTCAGGTGTAAACGCAGCAGGTAGGTATGCCTTGAGTTTATAACAGCAGTCCAAGATAGGAAAAATCTATTTGAAGCCATCAACATAGAAATGCTATTGCCCTAAGACTGGAAGAGATTCCTTAGGAGATGAGTGGAAACAGAGGAAAGGAGAAATCTAGGACTGAACCCTAAAGCAGGCTCACATTTGAAGTCAAAGAGATGTAGCAAGAAGGTGATGGAAACCAAGAAACTACCAATATCAGCTGGGAAGCAGCAACACACAGAAGGGCTACAGCTGAAATACCTCAGACTAGAGCAGAAATACCATCATAAAAACGGCTAACGTGGGCAGATGAAGAGGTCTGGGCTGCCTAAGCGACAGCCCCAGGAAACACCACTTAGATACTGAATGAAGAATAAAGCACGTTCAGATTTTTAAACAAAATATGAAAATGAAGACATCCCAATATGAGAAAATGAGGAAACAGGGGATGGAAAGAAGCTCAAAATTTCATTCAAGTAATGTGTGGTGCAAAATATGCCAGGTACCAGGAAAACAAGAAGAGATGTCCCACTGCCAATTTATTCTGCAATGAAGAAAAGCAATCTCAATGTAGTGTGGGAAGAATTATGAAACAGTAACCACAAGGGGGGCATGTTCCTAATCTACCTACCCGAAACCTCACTTTGGGGAAAACGGCAGCAGCAAGATCAGATAAAAATCAAGATCTCAAAGAGGTATCTGCACTGCCGTGTTCAATGAAGCATTGCATACCACTGTCAAGACACAGAAATAACTTAAATACCCACAAGGAGAGGGATGAATACTTCACTGATGTGCAAACTCATTAAATGGTACAATGCCTTGTATCACAATTATATTTCAATAAAGCTCAAAGTTTTCAAAGGTTTAATAGTATAAATATCTTATTCATAGCTTTAACTTTATGTTGAAATGGCTTGCACTCGACACTAGTTAAAAAGTATCATTACATATATCTTTAAAAACATCACAGAGATCAAGAGGCAATGGGCAGCATGGTGGCTGACACAGATTCTGAGGTAAGAGATGCAAACAGAAGTTGCATGTAAAAGGCCTTGTAAAGAAGAGTTCTTTCCCAGTCTTAGAAGATCGCATCTTTAAGAGTACTGGGGAGCCATTGAAGGTTTAACCAGGATGGTCATGTGATCTGGCCAGCACATGAGCCACAGTGTGAGTGAGGATGCACAAGGGCAAGAACTAGGCAGAGGAGAGGCACTGCTGCAGAGCAAAGACATGGTAATGACCTGGCCTGGATATGTCTGAAAAGTCACACAGGGGAAGCAAGGGGACTAGAGGAGGTGCTAGGGACACTTGAGAATGCCTTCCCAGTTCATGCGCCCAGATAATCCTCTCTTGATCATGACGAGATCAGCAATGCAGGATAATACACATTTCACACATGCCTGTGGGACATCTGAGTAGAAATCTGTCATAGGCCACTGGCCACGGAATGGACACAGGAGATCAAGCCCCAGGTGACAGATAAAAAGCATGGAAATCAACAATAAAAAGCAGTAAAAGCAGCCTTGAGACTTGATGAGATCAACTGGAACACAGAGAAGGAAAAGAGCCTAGGAAGGAAGGCTGAACAGCACAGAAGTACCCAGAGCCCAGAAAGAAGACTAAGCACAGCCTGAGAAGAAAAAGTACAGGGAAGAGCTGTTACCATGGGAGATGAGGTATGCAATGTGTATGAGAAAGATTAACACTGTCAAATGCTCCTAAAAGCCCAAAGAAAATTCAAAGTCAACAAAAATTGCCAATAATTTTTAATATGGCAGTTTCTGTTATCAGTGGCCACAGAGCGATAGACCAAAAGCAGCAATATTCAAGTATATCCCTCCTGCAGGTTAGCCAACCCAGGTTTACAGAAGTGGTGTGATTACACAGGACTGTCAAACCAGTGAATGTTAAAAATAGTTACTACTAGATGGCACCTTTTAATAATAATGCAAGTAAAACAGCAAATACACAAAACAAGTTCTAAATTTACAAAATATTACAAAAGCAAAGTAAAAATGAAAGTCTTCTTGTTTAGAGCCAAGTTCCTATCAGGAAGTCCACACACCCTGCCACAGACAGCTTCTATAGTACACCACATCCTCTAAGTCACAAGATAAAAAATAATACCCAGCTAATATAATTTTTCAATATATAGCTAACTTTACCGGGATGGGTTTCATTCTATATAAAACAAACGTGTATTTCACCAAAGGCAGTGCAACCAGCCTACAGGGGTCATATGTCTAAAGCACTGGTCTTGGTTTGTTTCGTTCTGCAGGATTGGGGATTGAGCCCAGAGCCTGTACACTGAGCTGCATCTCAACACTTTTTATTTTGAGACGGGGACTCACTAAGTAGCTAAGTTACCCACACTGGGCTCAAACTTGCAACCCTCCTGCCTCGGTCTTCCAGAATACTGGGATTAGTGTGCTACCCTGCTCAGCTGAACTCTTTTATGAAAACAGGTCCAGAGATTCTAGGCGTTCAGCTACAGCCCACAGATTACTGCAAATGTTAAGTGAGGAGTAAAACCGCTGTTCTTTCATCTATGCTGGTGATTTTCAAACTTCAGCACAGGTCAGCATCACCCACAACACGAGTTCAAACATAGCCCAGCCCACTCCCTAGTTTCTGACTTGAAGTTCCGGTGCTGGGGCCCACAGATTTACATTTCTATCATATTTCCAGGTGATGCTAATCTATACTGCAGTGTTAGTATTCTCAGTAAGATGAAAGAAAAGAAAAAAGAGTTCAACTGCTAAAATGAAAATTGTATAAATTTCCATGGCAGAAATAACCAAATTGTTAACTAATTAAATTGAGATTAGAGGTGAAGAGAGAACTCAGAATTAAAAAGGGAAATATCAAAAACAAATATGAATTGCAATATATTCCTAACATTCTTGGTGAAGCAGACAGCTTTACAAGCAAGGTAAAATATTTTCTAAATCAATAATTTAGTTAAACCCACAGAATTTCAGGGTCCTACACTGGTCTCCAAAAATTTCAAGAGAAGCATGCTAATTAATGGTACATATGATTAGGCCTAATATGCAGTTTCTTCTAATCCCACTACAGTAACTTTTAGGGTCGTAGAGAAAGAAAAAACTGTACAACTAGCCAAAAATTAGGGATTAAATTATAATCGGGTGAAGGAAAAAAGATATGCATGGCTTCTTTTGTCTCAAAAAATGTTGAGATATGAAATATTAAAAATCTAAAGCCACAGTGCTCACACCAGTGACATTATTAGATATTTTGTCCCCCTTTTCTATTGTGAATAAATGAGTAATCTGCTCTACTCCTATCAGATGCATTTTTGTCTCTTCATACAATATTAGGTTGACTGCAGATTATTACGAACATCCTGTAACAGCACAAAAATGAAAACCTATTCTGATTTTTTAAAAAGCATAAAAATGCTTTGGATTGATGATTGGAAGTAGTCACACACTTACCAAGATATATACAGCCAAAGCCACCCTGGCCAATAGGTAATCCAAGCTGCCACTCCTTTTTTGACATGTCAGTTATTATCTCTCCAGCTGCAAAGTGTTCCGCAAGATGTCTCTTTGCAGGGCCCAGTCTTCCAGCTTGAGCTGCTTTTACACGAGGCATTTTCACTGTAATACAGAACAAAGCAACATGTATAATCTCAATGCTCAAAACATTTTTCCCTCAGCACAGCTTCTATGCAACAGAGAGGCTGGTCAAATTCCTACCCACCCTAAAACTTAAGTAAAGAACAACTATTAATCCAGATTTACAATGGCTCAAATCCCATTTGATTATCTCACTTTGGAATTGAGACAACAAATGAAATGATCTACACAATCACTTTCAAGAACACTTAGTCTTTAGTTCCAGTGGCACATCACCTATGACTAGAATGGTATTTAATAATTTTAAAAAGTATTATATTGAGGGGAAAGAAGCCTACAATTATAATGCACATTTTATAGCAATGTAAAGAGGGGTTTATAAAAACAATATTGACGTGGTAAGTACACAGTACTGAGGGAAAATACGATACAAAGAGGAAGGCCAAGGGTACTCAGGGCACAATAACAGATGCTGTGCATGGGTTCCCTTCATCCTCAAGACAGTGTGAAGACCACATTTCATCTCCATTTAATGAATGAGGAAATTAGGGCCAGGGATTTTAGCTCAGTGGTTCCGCCACCTGCCCTGCAAGCTCAAGGGCCTGAGTTCAATCCCCAGTACAAAAATAAAATAAATAAGGAAATTAATCCTCAGCAAGCTACTGAAGTGGTGGAACATCAGAAATTTGCACTGTATCTTGCTCCAAAGCCTCACCAATATGCTCTACCTTTCAGCACAAGTCACCTTTCAAGAGACAAGGAGAAACTGTGTCTGTCTAGTGATTTGGGTTCACAGAAAAAAGCAAAGCTGGTAGAGGAATGGGGAAAAAATAGGAACTGAGATACATATATGCAAAGTCACAAGATCCCAATGATGCATGTAACTGTACTGTATACCTAAAATGTACCGATAAACTTAATGAAAAAAAATCAAAGCAGGTGACACTCAGCATCCCTGCTTCCCTTCTCACTAGCTATCCTGTCAGAGACGAATCTCAATTCACTTTTCTCACCAACACAGAAGTCTAACATAACATTCAGCGAAAGCGGTGCTGAACTGGGATCAAAAGACCTAAATTCCAGTTATGACACGGAAGTTTGACCGAGTCACATATCTCCTAGCTTCAAGAGCGCTTAGGTGTAACTCTTGCTTGTGTAAAGAGCACAGGTAATATTTGTGTGTTTACACACATGTACATGTATGTGTTGTATGATTTCAAACAGTCAGACCCATAAATACTAACTGAAAAGGGTTCACGTAACTTTCTGTTATTCCCTAAAAGTGAAGCAGAGATGCAGCAGAGACAGGAGACTGGTAAGAGTTAAATTAGTCTGCAATTCTTGAAATGGTTATTTAAATGAAAGAAGTCTGTTAAGATGTGATATAAATTTACATTATATAAGCAGTTTAGTTTTGAGCCTAAGCTAAATATGTACATACTACGTTAGATTGGAAACTTTTAGCAAAACACTACCACTCTACCACACACATTCCATATATGCAAATACTCTATATGTTCCTTATTCATTTATTGGGAAATTTTTTATTTTTTTTCCCAAAGAATAGGTAATGTATCTTTGCTATCTAAATCTTCTCTCAGATAACAAACACACTCTAAAAATAAACATACAATAGCTACTGCTTCATATCAATTTATTCTCATAATTACTGTGCTTTCAATACTTGATGGAATTTTCCTGAGTTAAATTTTAGTGCCAAGCATGACAGCCCAGACTCAAAACACCAAAAAGGGTAACCTATATATTCTGCAATACTAAAATGGATCTCTTCTAAGGTTCATCCAATTTTACGAAATCACCAGAGTAATCTCCCATTTGATTATTTCCTAATAATAGTCAAACACTTTAAAATAACTTACATTTTCTTGTCACCCAAAATAGTGACCGGACAATCTTGCATCTTTCTGGAATTCTTTCCCAGAATTAACAAAAATATCACATTTTACCTTCAGATAAATAAATAAAGTGAACTAAATCTGATACACAAGCTTAACTACCACACAGTTTCTCTTATACGGGAAATTCAAAGTACAAATAAATTAGAGAGCAAAATAAAAAACAGATAATAAGAAACAGGTAGATCTTCTGCAAAAGGGAAGGGAACCAAGAGATGAGGGGAGGGGAAACAGCGAAGGAAGGAGAGGGGCATAAAGAAAAGGACTACGATGTTTTATGTAAATGTACCAACTCTCCACAATGAACATAATCATTGTGTGCTACAAATATGTACTAGTAAAAATTAAAATTATTAATAAGCTGGCTCAGTACTTATTCAATATAAAATTGTGGTCAAAAGAGTGTTTTTCTTGCAAATAAAGCTGTTTGCTTTTATTTTTAGCTTTATTCCTGTGGCCAACTAAATGAAACTAATTGTAATAATTAATTAAGACTTGGAATGCTTTTCTTTCCTAAAAATAGTTCCACAGAACAGCATCATCATGGTCAGTCTACTGAAACTCATAAATCCTGCTCCAGAGGGTGACGCAGAACACAGTAGGGCTGGGCACAGCGTTCCATCTCGCCAAATCCCACCCAAAGGAGCACAAAGCTCACAACCCATGTGAAATCTACCAAGCGACAGGATCCTCTCCTACAAACCCCAAAACTTGAGTGGGTAAAGCAAACCAGGCAGGCGTAACTCTCAAAACTCACCAGCCAATGTGTCCACTAGATCGACACCTCGCACTGAAGGAAACTACAGGGGATAAAATCCAAAGTGAGAACCACAGGATGGTACAAGTAAAGGGGAAGTTCAAATAAAAGCAAATCTGCGGACAGCACCCGCATTTGGAATGCTGTATAAAAAGAAAAGAGGGCGCTCTGGCGAAGGAAAAAGTCAACCTGAACTACAGCAGACAAAAACTGTACACAAAGGAAAATGAATGCAGTCTATCTCAGCAGCAGAGGAATCAAGGCCTACTCACTGACAGTAGACGGACACTCAGAAAGAAAAGGTCCCTTAAGAAAAACCTCCTCCCCAAAAGGTTAAGAGCTACAAATATCCAAGACAAGAAATTTTTCACACAGAAGAAACTAAAATGAGTAAGAATTATGAGATGGGATGTAGTTCAGTACACAGCATCTGCCTGGCAAGCACAAGATCCTGAGTTCAATTCACTGTACCAAAAAAAAAAAAAAAAAAAAAAAAAAAAATTTTTTTTT